TCAAGGAACAGTTGTTTGGTCCCCTACACCCTTCAACCCTTCGAAGTTGTCACTCCGAAGGGTAAACCCTTTGAAGGGATTTGGGCATAGGGATGAGCCTTTCAAAATGGAACGCAGGGAAAAACTTTCATCTTAGTGAGGAGGTAAGGCTGACCCCATTGCTAGCTATGACACAGTCTTTTGAAGACTGATCGGTTGGTTGTCCAAGAATGAAATAAAAGAGCACTTTTAAGAGTATGGTCTATTATAAGCCTTCACGTTGAAATTACAAGCGCAATTTTCCCTGTTTTACTGTACTCTCTCTCTCTCTCTCTCTCACACACACACACACACACATTATATATGTATATTCTTTCTTTTATATTTACCATGCTGTCATACATATTTTATAGGAAATGAACAGCAACACAATATGGTTCTGAAAGTGCTGTAATTGTTTGTATAATCACTTTGCTTATAGAAGGTTGTGACAGACCCAAATCATCACTGCTGCATAGTTGCATTTTTCCAGTTGCCAAATATGTTAATGTAGTTAATGTGGTGATTACTTCCATTTCTGGTGCTATGGCGATGTTAGCATCTCTAATTAGATCGGTCACAAACATTATCCCTGCACGATCTAATGTGTAGCGTTTTATTAACTCACTGTCATGCATTGTGTGCAACACATTTCTTCTCACTCTTCAAGTTTTGCCCATTTTCTCCACTGCTAAAGAAACCCTTAAGCCTCTTAAAATTCCTCGTCCATACTCCTAACAATTTAGGACCTTAAGACCTCTTTTACGGGTTAGATGCTTTCTGAATTACTTTTTTTCTTTGCTAGGATCTTTTCTTTAATTTTAAGAGGAAACACCCACATTTCTAATAATACTGTTTATATACCAAATATAAAGATGAAAATTATGCTGTATGAACTATTAAATCTACTCAGAGGTTTGAAAATTTGAGTCTGGAAAAGTATGGAATTTTGAAATGGAAAATGTGTAGGAACCCTGTAATGCTGAACAGGACTCTAGCCTGAATCATCAGAAGGACTGGACTAGCAAGATGCAGCCTTTTATTTGAAAGCCATTGAACACCAGAACAGAAATGTTGCAGACGCCGTCTTCTGGCCAGACGCGGCAATTCATACATCGGGCCTGTCCCAATACCTGCACTTGCAGTCTTTGCACTTAACCACTAGTCTACTTATATGATGTATTCCTGTATTTGGCCCAAGTGTATGTAGAACTTTTGATTACTCAATGGGACATGCTTATAGTGTTGTAAAAATGCAAATACATTTTTATAGAGCTTTTTTATTTTCAATACTTTGCATTTTAAAACTATAAATGTCTGTTCAGTATTCCCCATGTTCTGTTACAGACAACCCTGCAAACATTTTACAAAATAAAAATAACCTCTGTATCAATAAAATGCAACAGTTTACGTTTTACTACAAAATTACACTTAATATCTAATTAAATTTACACTGTAATGTTTTCCTGGACATGTTGGGATTTTGGGTCACATGAGTAGGTGAAAATTATGGGTATATTAGGTGCGTTCGATTTGAAGCACGGCTACAGACGGCAGTCAACGAGAGTAGCCGCTTGCGGTCGGGGGCGGAGTTGAAAACGGAGCCGTCAAGCCGGACACTTTCTGCTCCCGTATGTGACGCTCCCCCGGTGTTTGCATACTCTATATCACAGATTAAGTGAATTAAATGCAATATTTGTCAAATATACAGACGTTTCAGAAACGTTTTCATGAGCAACAGATATATACTGATTATATACTGCTTTATACATCGCCATCTGTTCAAGAATAAAGTTCAACGTAAATATATACTATTTAAATACTAATAAAGCGGGGGAATATATGATTTCATCAGTGTTTTATGATAAACGTGACTCAATATAACATTGCGACTACAGTAAAAAAGTTTTTACTGTTCTAAAAACACAGATTTGTGGCCATTATTGGAATTGCAAAGGTTAGAATAAACCCGAAACACCAATCGTGAAATGGCTGTGTCGTCATCAACGCTCCTGCAGCCGCTCTGGAGAAACTGCGCTGGGTGAGTCAGTGAGTTTTGGACACAGCCCTGATCTGTGGTAGGGGAGTCTGGGATTGGTTGGCACAAGGCTAATTTCTGGGTCAAAAGTGGTTCACAAAAATATACAGTAGCTACATCTGAATGTTTGCTCTCTTGAACCTCACCAGGTTCTACCAATATATTAAATAGTTAAAACCTGGCGATTTTTTTAAACTTTTCTGTGTCAGACAAAAACTAAGCCCCAAACAGGGGCCTCACGTGACGAGAGTGATGCGAGACACTATGCACGGGGGGATTGGCGCTGAATAGCGTGGTAAAGAAAGTTCAGGAGATAAGCAGTTAAGGGATATGAGATCGCCGAGCCGGCCCGTTCCGTAACTCCCCAACCGGACCTCACCGGACAATGGCACCTTTTTAGTTACACCCAGCGTGTACACTACCCCCTCCTTCCCTGCGAATTTCGAGCCCCGGGACTATAGGTATGGGATTACATCTCTGCCGCAAAGTTAATGCATAACCATTGGACAGCAAAATGCTCAGTGGGTCAGCAGGGTCAGTCAAAGTAGAACCAACCAAAACAACATAGGTCCAGCATAGGAGACTGTAATGCAAGAAATTCCTACCTAACCTCGGTCAGGTGGAGTACTGGGGGTTATAGGGGAATTAGGAAGGGGAAGAAAAGGGCAGATGTAAAACCCCCGAAGGAAATGAGTAGATACTCAAGTATCACTCTGATCTGGACGAAAGCG